ATATATATATATATATATATACATAGAATTTTATCTTTTTACATTAAAATAAAGATAAGCATTTGTATTTTTCAAAAAAAGAAACTTTTAGCATGTTTGTATTATCAGAAAAGTATATAATATTTCAAACACTTTCTTTTGCAAAAATTAAATTTTTAAATATCATTCGCAGGTCAGTATTGCGATCTTGATGTAAACGAATGTGAGTTGCACGGCAATTCTCTATGCAATAACGGGATCTGCATTAATACTGAGGGTAGCTACAACTGCTTTTGCCGGCCGGGCTTTTCCGGCGATCATTGTGACATCAATATCGATGAATGTTTGTGCGGTCCTTGCAAGAATAATGCTACGTGTCTCGATGGTATCAACATGTTCCAGTGTCTATGCCAACCAGGTTATACTGGTAAAACCTGCGAGATAGACGTGAACGAGTGCGACAGTAACCCGTGCCACAACGGGGCACAATGTGTCAATGGTATAGCATCGTACACGTGCGTATGCCCGGTTGGATTTCTCGGTATTAATTGCGAGATCAACGTCAACGAATGCGAATCATCACCTTGTATGAATCAAGGAAAGTGTATCGATGGCATAAATGATTACACTTGCGATTGCAGTGATACTGGTTTTGAGGTAAAGCTCCTTTTAGTAAATTAAAAAAATAATTTGCTGTTATTATCAATAAAATAGAATCTTTTTTAAAGTGCACACAGCTATTTTATGATTCCAATTACTTTTTACATTTAGTCTTTTTATTTAATTTAATATATTAAATATTTAACTTGTAGGAATTAATAATTTTAAGAAATAAGTTGAATTATAATTTCGTTAATTGTTATTTCTAATTATATTTAATTCAATATTTTAATTTATTTTTACATATTATTTAAATCTAATTTAAAAAGTAAGAATTTTATTAAATTTAATTGTTTATTTATAATTAAAAATTTTTTAAACTTTGATTTTTAAGGGTCTACATTGTGAGAATAATATCGACGAATGTTTGCCACAACCGTGTGTAAATGGTGGACTGTGTCTGGACGACATCAAAAGTTACAAATGCCAATGTTATACCGGCTACATTGGTAAGAACTGTGAAGTAGATGTAAACGAGTGTGAGAGTTCGCCCTGTCAATATAATGGCACTTGTCTTGAGCGATCAAACAAAAACCTTTACAAAAGTGAGGCTCTAAACTTACCTGCGATCTTTACCCAAGAATTCAATTACACCAATGCCAGCGGGTAAGCCTTTAAATAACTCTTTCAGCTAATTCCTAGTTTTTCTCTTATTTTATTTCAAAATTTAATTCAGAAATATTCCACGTTCCATAAAATGCGCAACGCATTGAGAAGATGACTTGAAATCTATAATTTTCGGAATATTTTTTTCATATTTTATCGAATGTAAAAGGAATAAGTTCTTGAAATCTTGATAGATATGAGTGCCTCTGCGTCCAAGGTGTCACCGGCAAGAATTGTGAAGTGAATATCAACGAATGTGACAGCAATCCCTGTGGTCCAGGTACCTGTATGGATCGTATCGGCGGCTACACTTGTGATTGTGACGAGGGCTACGAAGGAGATCACTGCCAACACGAAATTGACGAATGCAAAAGATATAGTCCCTGCGAGCATGGAGTGTGCACAGACGGTAAAGCCGATTATTTTTGCAATTGTGAACCGGAATACGGTGGCAAAAATTGCTCGGTAAAGTTAATGGGCTGTCAAGGCAATGCCTGTCAAAATGGAGGCACTTGCTGGCCCTATCTAGTCGATGAGACCATTCACAAGTTCAATTGCACGTGTCCCAACGGCTACCATGGTGAAGTTTGTGATTATGTAAGTATTTATATTTCTTATTAAGCATTTTTTAAACAATTTTAATATAATTTCGAATAATTAAAAACATTCCGCATTTCAACATGAAACATGAAACATCGTTTTATAAATTCACTTTTAATTAACAAATTTTTTTATATCCAACAAAATTTTTGCTTTATTTACGAAACTTTTCTATTTTTATCATACTTGAAAAAATTTCGAATAATTAACAATCATTAGTCATTGAATGCAAAAAGTATTTATCATTCACGCTTAATTATGCTTTATCGCACATGTTAACTTTTTCCCGAAGCGCTTCTGGCGGAAGAAGGTGCGTAAACGCGTTCCGCTTGTACAAGCAATTTGATAAACATCTTAAGTGTTATTATTGCTCAATAAATTCACAGGTGACGACAATGTCTCTAAGCGGCAGCTCGTATGTCTTGGTGAATACCACGCGCGACGAGGGCTACGATATCCAATTTCGCTTCAGGACTACCTTACCGAATGGTCTGCTAGCTATTGGTAGGGGTGTGACCATTTATATTCTTCAGTTGGTGAACGGCAAACTCAATATACATTCTAGTATATTAAATAAATGGGATGGAGTCTTCGTTGGTAGTGGACTCAACGATTCCAATTGGCAAAAGGCCTTTGTAGCGATTAATGCGACTCATCTCGTTCTTTCCGCCAATGAGGAACAAACTATCTATCCCATCAGTCCCAATGAAGGTTCTAATTCATCGAACCACACATCTTTCCCTACGACTTTTGTGGGCGGAAGTCACATCAGCTCCTTGAGCTTCTTGAGAAGATTGTCTCGCTTACCTTCGTTTACTTTCTTTGTCGGCTGCATGGAAGATGTTGTCATCAACGGCGAATGGGTACGTTAATCAAAATAAATCAAAATTAATAATTATTAATTTCGATTTTTAATTGATGTATTTTCGATTGACGTATTTTTGATTAATAATCAGAAAATTTTAAGCTTTTTTGCTTTTATTTATTTTTATTGCTATCTATCTACATAATAACAATTTCTTTTGTCAAATTCTTAAAATCAATTATGTGTGTATCTTCATAATAATTTATACATTTCATAATATATTTCATGACATAATAATTTATACAACAACATTTCATGATTCCAAACTTTATCTCAGGTCTACTCCGGCACCACATCAAAAACTGTGTACATGGAGGATGTGGAAGCGGGCTGTCCTCGAGAAGCTCAATGCTCACCAAACCCTTGTAAAAATAGCGGTCACTGTACTGATCGTTGGCGTGATTTCTATTGCAAGTGTGAGCGTCCTTACCTTGGTCACACATGCCAGTACAACATGACAGCAGCCACCTTTGGCTACGAGAATATCACGAATGGTTACGTGACCGTAAGGGTCAGCGATGCGGCCAGACGTACTGTCAGCTCGGTCGTTGATATCTCTATGTTTATTCGCACACGGGAGAGCTACGGTGATATTTTCTATTTGGGTACGGAACCAGATTCTCAAGTCGATCAGAAGTCTCAAGAGAAGACCTACATAGCGGCACAATTGGAGGGCGGGGAATTGCGTGTGAGGATTCAATTTAACGGCACGGAAGCTTACACCGTCGGTGGTGTAAAGCTCAATGATGGAAACAACCATCTGATCCAAGTGGCGAGAAATGTCACTCTCGTTCAAGTGAAAATCAACGGTACTGAATACTTCCGCAAAACCATTAGTGCTACAGGTGATCTAAATGTTACCGTTTTCTATCTGGGAGGACTTCCACAGTCATCACGATACATTCGTCAAGTTGATAGTAGACAAATGGAAGTGCAACAAATGCCACAAATTAATTTCAAAGGCATTATCCAAGATGTGCAGATATCAAACGGTACAAGAACAATGGTCGTGGAATTTTTCCCGCTAAAGGTGATTAGAATCCTTTTTCATATATTAGCAATAATTATGTACAATATACTTTAGATTTATAAATAACTCTTATTTTCTCTTAGGCACAGGACATTCCTGCACTTATTCAATTCGGCAATGTCTCCTTCGATCCTGAAAAAGTCCTCGAGGGTGTGGTATCGGATGATGTGTGTGTAAGCAGTCCGTGCAATCACAATGGCACATGTCATGTCACGTGGAATGACTTCTGGTGTCAGTGCCCGCGGGGTTATACCGGCAAAACTTGCCAAGAGATGGAATTCTGTCAATTGCAAGACTGTCCGGCAGGATCACGTTGCCAGAACCTTGACGACGGTTACGAATGCATCGCCAACGCGACCTTTGACGGTATTTCCACTGTCTTCACGTATACGTACGGTCGCGTTACAGATATTGCCAGTGATCTACCACTTGATACCATCGAGATCACTTACCGATCCAATATCGGTGGCACGCTACTTCACATAGCGCCTCACATGGGTGACCAACATTTCACCGTGTCTGTCTTCAAAGACAACGTTACTGTATCCTGGCGGCTCGATTTAGAAAATCAAAATAATGTCTCTTTTGGTAAGAGTCAACCTGACGGAAATTGGACTTCATTGCTCATCAAACTGAATAACAATTCTGTGGAGTGCGGTTACGCTAATCCTACTGAAGAGCAGCCTCATATAAGTCTCAACTTTAGCTTCCAACTGTGGTATGATCTACTGGTAACAGGAACAGTTATCCTCGGTGGAATTTCCTCCAGTGCTTTATCCGACAAGGATACTTATCTTACTGTTGGATCTAGATCTGAGAATAGAAACGGAATTGAGGGCAATAGCGTGGATTATGAACATAGATTGACGACCATGCCTCCACATAGTATGATATCCGGTGCGTATAAAAAATTTTGATATAATAAAGAATTTTAATTAGCTTTAAATGTTATTACACGTTGTATGCAATAAATATTAAATTAAGAATAATATCACAGTTTATTTCATATCATTTAAAAAATGGAAACTTAAACTCCGAACTTTTAATCCCTGATTCTACTCGATTCTGAAAATTCGAGAAATTCAATCTTTATTGTTTTCATTCTAAAATTTTTAGTCGTCTCTGTAGAATTGATTCTCCCTTTCTTTAAAAAAATGTTTAATGTTTTTTTTTCTTGAAATCAGAAAATTATCCTTTTCCTTACATACACAGGAGAACCATTTAAGGGCTGTCTCGGTGAAGTACGTATCGGCAGTATATTGTTGCACTATTTCACCTACGAAGAAGTTTATCAGAATGCGAACTTCACCCCGTTGGAATATCTGGAATTGCAGGGTAACGATAACGCCACTCATCGCGACAGCATCGGTTGTCAATTGTGTTTCGACACGGATTGCCAAAACAATGGTTATTGTTTCGATAAGGCCAATAGTTACATGTGCGAATGTCCGGCAGGTTATGCCGAGGACGACTGTTCTTTTAATATCGACGAGTGCATCGACAACAAGTGCCAAAACGGCGCGACTTGTGTCGATGGTATTGCCAATTATACCTGCGTATGCAAGAACGGATGGCAAGGATGGCTGTGAGTATTCTCTTTTCTTTAAATTATTTTAGGTTTATATACAAGGAAGGATTAATATTTTGTGTGTGTGTGTGTGTGTGTGTGTGTGTGTGTGTGTATGTTAATTATAAAAGAGATTAACGAATAATAATTAATGAATAATAATTAATAATCAAACGTATTAAGCATATTATTACACATCAGTAAATATTTATAATTAATAGTCGGTTGATACAAAAAAGTCATACATTTTATATATAGGGGACATTTACAAAAAAATTCTGAATCATTTTTCACTTATATCAGAAAGTCATGTGAAGTCATATGATTTACATCATATCACACACAAATAAACTCACCTATACATATATCACAGCAGAAGAAGAAAGATAAATTCCATGAAATTGTAGTCTGTAACAATTAAGAAGAGATTACGATATCTCTCTTATCAAGTTCCTTTCTTATCTGATTACAGATGCGATAGTGACATCAACGAGTGCGTAACGCTTAGTCCGTGTAAACATGAGGGCATATGCGTAAATCTACCGGGCTCATTCAGGTGTGAGTGCCCTGATCAATTTACTGGTGAACTATGCGAAAGCTTCCGATTAATCACCTGCAAGAATGAGCCATGTAAGAGCGGAGCAACCACGTCTTGCTTAGACGAACCGAATCCAAAGACCGGTAATAACTTCACCTGCAATTGCGCACCCGGCTACGACGGCCCGACCTGTGACACACCCTATTGTTTCCACACAAAGTGCCAAAACGGAGGCAGATGCGAATTCCTCATTCCATATAAGGTATATCTCTCTTCTTTCTGCGTTTTTATATTTTGATATTCTAAGGAGTATAATGTGAATTTTTCTTGTTATATATTTAATTAGATTTTCTAAATTAGGTTCTTATTTGGAAGTTTCGAGAGATGAACAGTAAATTATAAAAATTAAAAATAATTAAATTTCTTGTCCATTTTAAATTCTAGATTCTTTGAGTTTCTGGACTAAAAATTTTAAACCTATAAGTTTTAGAAATCTCGAACATCTTTAAATTCTTAGATTTTATAATTATTTGGAATTATAATTCTAGTTTCATCTCTCGGGAATTCCTTGATATTCATTCTACTTAATCATTCTGCAATTATTATTATATAAAATAGGCGCCAAAATGCATCTGTCTTGTCGGTTACACTGGTACGTACTGCGAGATCAACATTGATGACTGCGCGGTGGATTCTGAGGGCAACGGGCCTTGCCAGAATGACGGCAAGTGCTATGACGGAGTGAACAAATATGTGTGCGATTGCCAGGGTACTGGATACTCCGGAATTAATTGTTCCGTCGATGTGAATGAGTGTCAGGATTTAGAGATCGATTGTGGGCACGGTAAATGCGAGAATCTGCCTGGTATCTATCAGTGCATCTGCGACGACGGCTATTGCGGCTACAATTGCGGCATGGCGAATCCATGCCAGGATGTGAGTCCTTTAATTTTCTGCCGAGAAAATAGCGCATTGATAAGTAACATGGAAAAGAAACTTGCAAAATTTTGATAAATTAAAAAATAATTTGGTATAAAATTTATTAGATAAGCTATATATATTAGAAATTTGAAAAAGTTTAATGAAAAATAAAATTTTAATGAGTCTTTATTAAAGTTATAATAATGAAAAAATTAAAACAAAAAAGTTTATAATAATTATTCGCACGTGTTTAATTTCTTCTCAATCATTATAATGCGTAAATAACGTTGTCTTAATATTTGATTTAGGATTTCTGCCACAATGGTGGCACATGCGAATGTGGTGACGATGGTGAATACATATGTCGATGCACTCCTAATTACACGGGACGAAATTGTACAGAGGTAAAATAAAATTTGAAGAAGATTTAAATATGTTCACAAATTATGAAATTAACTAA